AATTGAGAAATACTTAGTAAATTAAATTTCAAGCCCTTGACTAAAAACACATTATCAATAGCATGGCTAGGTGACTTTCCAACTTTTCCCACGGCTATGATCTCTCCTTTGCCGTTGTCTCCGAATGTCACCTTTCCACCGTTAAATGGCCGAAGTGAGAGGAATAAAGATTTGTCTCCCGTCATGTGCTTAGAACAACCACTGTCAAGGAACCAGTGATTGTTCCCCCTCACTCGGCGCTGTTCCAAGTTTAAGGTTTTGTGCGTGGAACCCAGACCTGCTTGGGTTCCATTTTGTATTTATTTGAGGAAGATCTAACATAATCATAGCATCTATCTAGGGTCTCTTGCCGAGAGTAACATTGATACCGAAGATGACCGATTTTGCCACAATGCATGCAAACTCGGTTATCATAAGTATCAACGTATTTGGGTTTCCATTTACCGTGAAAGCCTCTAGTTCTTTTGTAAAAAGTCCGGTTAGGCGTTTGTCCATAACCGTTTTTGTGCCTCTTAACCAGTCTATCGAACCAGTTTGGTCCAGTTCTAGGTGGCTGTTGATATGGTCTAGAACTGGATTGTCCTTGGGTTCTATTATCCTTAAAGGGTTGGTTCTGAAAATTTGATTTTTGATTAGCTCGAATATCCTTTGGAACATATCCGAGACCTGCAGTCTCGTTTACTTTCTTATTGTGCTGAGAAGGACCAGTTCCAGAATGATGTCTAGACCTGGTTTTGTTCGTTGCACTATAGGATTGATATTCCGGTCTATTTTTAAAATCAGTGCACTCGGCAACAAGACGATGAAGATGATCAATTAAACAACCAACACTCGGTATTTTTGAGAGAAGCTTTTCATCATGATCAACTTGTTTGTTCATACTATCGAGCTTAAGAGAGCAAATAATTTGATCTTGTTCTAGAACCACTTCACTGTACTTAAGCCTTTCATCTATTAACTCTCCCACTTTTGTTTCAAGCCTTATTTTGGCTTTCGTGGCTTCCTCGAGTTTAGACTCAAGCTCAGTGACACGTGATTTAAGTTGATCGTTTTCGGAAAGGCTTTCATTAAGCTCAATAGTCAATCTTTTGAAAATCTTCCGAGTTTTGGTTTTGGATAGAGAGTCAAACTTGGATAGAAAATTTTCAAAGTTTACCTCAAAGCTTTCTTGGTCGGATTCCTCGTCGGAGAGTGCCATAAGACATAGACCCGCATGATTGGAGTTCTTATCATTTTCTTCTTCATCATCATCGGATGAGTCTCCCCATGCGGCCATCATTGCCTTCTTGAGATCTCTATTGAAGCCTTTGTCTTCACTAAACCTCCGGTTGGAACTGGACTTGTTCTTGTCGTAGGTTTTCTCATTTTTCTTTTGTGGGCAGTCCCTAGCCCTGTGCTCAAAGGAACCACAAACAAAACAACCTTGGTTATTAAAGGATTGAGTATTTCTTTTACCTTGTTTGGCACGGTTGTTCTTGAACTTCCGGTACATCCTTCCAAATTGTTTCGCAAACATGCTCATCTCATCATCCGATTCACTTTCGGATTCTTCTTCTTCTTCTCGAGCCTTTAGAGCTATTCCTCTCTCTCGCCTAGCATTCTCGGCATCCTGTTCTTCTTGAAGACCCAGTTCATATGTTAGGAGTGATCCGGTCAAGTCTTCAAGCGTCATGATGGATAGATCTTTTGCTTCTTCAATGGCCGTGGTCTTAGGCTTCCATACCGGTGGCAGACTTCTCAAGATCTTTCTCACTTGATCTTCCACTGTAATCTCTCTTCCAAGGGCTGAAAGCTCATTGATGATATTAGTGAAACGTGTAATCATATCCTTAATTGACTCTTTTGGCTTCATTACGAATAATTCGTAATTACGCATGAATATGTCAATCTTAGATTTTTTTACACGTGAGGTTCCCTCATGAGTGACCTCGAGCAAATCCCACATTTGTTTTGCAGTCTTGCATCCTAGAACCCGATTGTGTTCGGCAGGACCAAGACCGCAAATTAGATATTTAAGGGCTTGGGCATTATGCTCGAGTTTCTCATAATCTTCAGAAGTATATTCAACTTTAGGTTTAGGAACAACATTACCTTCGGCGTTTCTCTTTGTGATGACATTATCACCACTTTCAATTACATTCCAAACCTGGTAGTTATCGGCCTTGATAAAGTTTTCCATCCGACTCTTCCAAAATTGATAAAATTTGCCATTGAACAATGGTGGTCGTTGAGTCGAGTACCCTTCTTCCAATCGGTCAACCGTATTCATTTTGCCGGATCTCTTCCCAAGGTATTAGCCTCTATGTGGTGAAGACCTGCTCTGATACCAATTGATGAAAACGGTTAGCAACACAAGAGGGGGGGTGAATTGTGTGTGTGTGGAACCGTGGCAGTTTCTCGCCGAGTTCTAGTGTGGGATAAAGGGAATTGCTAGATAGTAAAGTGCACAAGAATTTAACGAGGAAAAATCCCTTGGCTCAAAGGGATTAAAAAACCTCGACCTCCCTCGGAGGAATTTTAAACAACTTCACTAAACAAACCTTTGAAAGAGTTACAAGAGTGATTCTCCTAATCTACCCTTGAGCCTCCCCAACTCTATCCTCTCTAGGAAGAGTTATGCATCTCTACCTTGCGGGTAGAGAGCCTCTCAGCTTTATCACAAAGCTCTCACACACACTTAACCCGAGGCAGCTACTCTAGCCAATTAAGCCTCAATATTCCAAGTACAATATGAAAGGGAAAAGAAAAACTCTATCTAGAACTCCGAGCGGGCAGTTTCAGGCGCCAAGGACTTGATCCTTTTCTTGAATGATTCTTCTAAGTATTTTTTCTCGGTTCAGCGCCTTTTTCTCTCCAGCTACTTCGATTATATAGGAGACCTCAGAATTAATCCGTTGGAGCCTTTATCTCTCGAAATCAATCTTGATACTTGCCTTGAAATAATTTAAACACTTTCCATCTTGATACTCCGGTCAACCGAGCTCTTATGAATAATTGGCAAGACAGTAATATATTATCCTTCCATAGTAAGAAAAATGAATCTTCGCAGAATACAATACTTGGCATATATGGATTTATTCGAATTGTGTAACTTTACTAAAGTGGCTTTTTCTTTTGATAGCATAATGCTCAAAAGCATGCAACGATCTTCCTCTTTTAAAAGGCAAGCAATGATGGCTTTTCAATGGTAAGCATATAAAAAGTATATGGCTCCTACGACAGCTCCCAAAATATTTCAATTACTATATTAAGCAAGAAGACCTTTTATATATCAAATTCAAATACTTATCAAATCTGAATTTATTCAAGTCATGTGACATTTCGAGAGAGACTTTCCTTTGATAATACTTTCCTCAAATTATGCCACGTTTATTATTTAGTTGAAAATAATTTCTTTCCTTAAAAGTGGATATATTAATTAAAGTACCTTTTCTTTGTCAATTCATGCAAGCCAATAGTGTCACGTACTTACGCATGCACATAGATATAAATCACAAATAGCATAAAGTAGTTCTTCCCTTGGTTCTAGTTAGGTTAGTCATCAACAAAACTAATTAATCAACAACTACCCTCCTGATTGAATTGTTAGCTGAAATTTGGTATGGATAAACTAGACTTAATGAAGAATATATGCTAAAAAAATCATCAAAAAACTTCATCGGGAGCCACCCCAAATGGCAATGGCCGGACAGAGCCTCCCATATAAGGGGTGATTTGCACTATTGATGTTAGAGCCGATTTGCTACTTTTCCCTATTTTTTATACTTAGGTGATATATCAAATTTTTGTTATTTTACTCATGCTCCGTATTAATTAAACTAAACTCTCATTGTTGTAACTTGTCTAGTACTTTTCAATTGATATCTATAATAAGGGGTGGATGCACCCTTTTGAGAATGGGGGCACTTGCCCCTAATAGCATTTGTCTTTTTAGTGTATTTTTTCTTGCTTTTAGCCAGTTAATCACGTGTGCCCCAACAAAAAAATAAGAATGCCCCCATTAAATACTCCACAAGATCACAAGCATCTGGGATGTAAGAGTCGCTCAACCTATCTGTCCATGTAAATTATTTTAGTAAGGGTCCACTTTATCATTTAAACTAGATGTTATTCTAATTTCTAAACTCTAAAGAGAGAGTACTTGAACAATAGAGCAAGCATACTCACTACGACACCAACCAATCAGTTTTCACGAACCACACTTTTTGATAATCCGATTTGTCAATTATCTAGCCCACTAATGAAGATTTAAAATTACTTGATTTTCTAGTCTTTATTCTCCTAATCAGGTTTATTAATTAGAAGTTTTTCAAATATGTTACTAAATAAAATTTATTTCTAAAAAAATACGAAGTAGAATTTTGTGTACGTTTGGCACACCTAGAAAAGATAGTTTTAATATCATTTTATTAATTGTTTGCTTTTAGTGACTGAAACGATCTTAAAAGAAAAAAGTAACAATTGTTTGATAAAAGCTAACTTTTTGATTTATTTTTGTTTGGTATACAAACTTTTGTGACTAATTGATGCTAACAGCTACAGACTTTTCTCAGATACTAATCAGTGTAGTTTTTCAAAAAGATCTTTTTTTTTTTTGAAAAAAACTCTTAAATATTATCTTGCCAAACATACAACTAGGAACTTTTAGAGATTTTAATAATAATACAAAGGCTAGAATTTAGGAACTTATGCTTATCAAAGATGCACTTATTCTTATTTTGATATGATTATTAGCAATTTAATTTCTTTATGAAGAATGTTATACTATCGTATGTTGTTCTTTCAATCTTTTGTAACTTTTACTAAGTATGGTGCCCCCAATAACTACATTTTCTGGATCCGCCCTTGTCTATAATATTCATCAGATTTCTACACTTACGTATACGTCAACATTAACACGATTTAAATTGTTTTTTGTTTTTGTTTTTGGTGCATCTCAAACTGAAATATCATTTTACGTAGTACTACTATTAATGTTAGTGAGGTTAAAGAACAGATTATTTCTCATACACTTTCAATGAGTCCATACATTACGTTCAAATATCATAAATATATTCTATATGATACAAAAAAGTTATAATAAAGCCATCACATCTCTTACACCAAGATACACTTTTGTTGTTATTTTGCGACAAGGCAATGAAGATTAATACTCTCTCCATTTCCATAAATTGATTTTGTATCTCTTTATTCAATTCGATACCGTATGCATATAATACAAGGAAACATACAAGAAATATATAGACATATAAAAATATAAATCTCAAATGGGTAAGCTGCGGAGGACTATTGTCTCAATAGTAAGACCGGGCCCAAACGATAAAACCACTCCGAATTCAAGCCCGCCTCCAGTAGTCTTGAGCCCATCTCTAATGGACCTCTTCCTGACCTCGTCCATAATGAATATCACACAAGCGCTAGATAAATTTCCGTACTCACGCAATACGTTCCGTGTGGCCTGCAACTTATTGGGCTCAAGGCCCAATGTGCTCTCCACTTGGTCCACAATTGCATTCCCACCTGGATGAAGGATCCAAAAAAGTGAGTTCCAATCTGAGATTCCCGAACCTTCGAAGGCCCTAATTAAACAACTCTCGGCGTTTTTAGCTATGGTCGATGGCACCGACTTTGTTCCGTGGAAAGATAGGCCCGATTCACGAAGGTGCAATGCAAGATGGTAGTCACCATTAGGCACAAAGGTTTGGGCCGCTGATAAAATTTCAAATATGGGCTTCTCAATATTGGGTATGGGGTCTGAGCCCACTATCAATGCAGCAGCCCCATCACCAAATAATGCTTGGGCCACGAGATTATCTACGTGATCCGGGCTTGGACCACGGAACCCAATAGCCGAGCTTTCGGAGCACACTACAAGGATGCGTGAGGCTTTGTTGTTCTCGGATATATCCTTGGCAAGTCGGAGAACCGTACCCCCGGCGAAACAACCTTGTTGGTATAACATGAATCGTTGCGTTGATGGGCTGAGGCCCAAAAGCTTGATTAGCTGGTAGTCTGCGCCGGGCATGTCCAGCCCACTTCTTGTACAAAAGATTAGATGGGTGATGTTGGATATGGGCTGGCCCCACTCCTCTATTGCTTTGAGGGCAGCTTCTTTCCCCAATTTTGGTATTTCAGATATCAAGATATCTTGTCTAATATTTAAAGAAGGTTCACTAAATGTACATAAATTTGGATTTCCCTTCAAGGTTTCCTCAGTTAATATCATATGCCTTTTCGTGATCATAGTTCTACCACCTGATTACACATTACAAACAAGCCAGGCATGAGAAAGTCAACACCCACCATCATCAACATTGACTGGTTGGTGAATTTTTGGACTTCTGTTTTGAGTTTTATGCTAGGTTTTTCATAATACTAGCAAAAGCATATATCTTGAATTACTTAGGAAATAATGAAAACCTTATACTACGTATAACTTAAAAAAACTTACCAAGTACTATATGTACCGGTGATCAGTCGGTGACCACTCTTTATATGATTGATCATTTTTTTACTAAAGTTTGGCCCTAGTCTATATATATATATATCCTTCACATAAATCTTAATTCTGGTGCGCAAATTTTATTCATAATATTAAGCTATCTCACAAAGACTCGATACGTTTTTTTTTTTGGTAAAACAAAGACTCAATACTTAAGACATGCTTACGATAATTCATAATTATGTGACTAAAAAGATTGAATCCCCACCCGTTTTACACTTTTGTGAAAGGAAAAATGTTTGGGAGCCTAACATATCCTAATCCTGACTAATCTCAACTTCACTACTTGAGTAAAAGTGTGGTCATACACATATTCCTCTGCTTTTTGCTGAGCACGTTAAATACAAGCCCGGCAACTATACCCGCAATTACGATGTTTTTAGTTGAATTAATTTCAGTCCCAAATCAAATAAGATCGAATAGTGAAATAATAGTGAAATTAATACAAATAGTGAAATAGGACAAACATCCACTAGACAAGAGTCGGTCAGTTCAGACCAAACTAAGGATGTTTTTACTTGGACTATTTTCAGTCTCAGACCAGACCAAATTAGACTTAAACAGATCAGAACAGACCAGACAAGACTGAACTTTCGTAGTTATAAAATACACAGAGACCAAACGTTTATCTGACCAGATTAGTTCAGACCAGATCAAAATTAAACATACTAGACCAGACAGACCAGACCAGATCGCACCAAACTAGACCAGATCGGACCAGCAAATTAAAGTAAAAACATCCTTAATCCTCATATGAGAGCAGATTAATTTATATTTTGAGTATTAGGATCGGCCTTTTTATTGTAAAAGGACTACACCGAAGTACTCCGTATATAAAGACGGGGAACACCATGCTTATTAAAAAAGTACTCCGTACATACTAAGAAGAACACCATGCTTATTAAAAAAGTACTCCGTACATATTATGAAATACTACTTCCGTCCCTTAAAACTTTGTCAAAGTTGACCAGCACGGAGAATAATAAAGTAAAAATTGTGTGGTTGAGGTTTTGTGCAGAGAAGAGAGAAATAACAGAAAACACAAAATAATTGATGACAAAGTTTGGAAAGTGACAAAGTTTTTTGGGACATACCAAAAAAGAAAGATGACAAAGTTTTAAGGGACAGAGGGAGTACATGGTAGGGGACTACACCCAAACCTACCAAAATTAAATGACGTAAGGGTAGCAATTGCATCAAATTTTACAATGCCTAGAAAATTGTTGAAATCAGCCTATAAAAATGCAATTAGGATCGGATTACAGGATTAGAGAAGAGGTCGGAGCATATTTGGGTTTTTTACAAGAATATTACTCCTTTCGTCCCGCTAAGTTTGTCCCGTTTTACCTTTTTCGTCCGTCTCATTAAGTTTGTCTCATACCATATTAGGTAATGTTTGAGTGACTAGAATTCATTCTTAGGGGGACAGAGGTAGTAGTAAAATAAAACTTGTTTACATAAATATGACTATTCATTACTACAACGTAGTGTTGTGATAACTTAAGTTCATAACTTGAACATGAATTACTATGATTTCATTACTACTCTAGTAACTATTCATATTTTTTTAAACCATCTTTATTTTGGTCATATTTATGTAATCATTTCTTTTTATTTTATAAAGTTATCATATTCATATCAAATGATTACAATAAGATGATCATATATTGTTAAAGTCCCACACCGAATATCTCTTAAACAGTATATTAAGATTTGAGTCACTCCTCCTATCAGGTTGACCATTTAGGATGGAATCCTTGATCTTAACATGGTATCAGAGCCAAATCGGTCTATGGTGTGCGCCCCATATAAAAAATGATGACACGATTATAAAAAATGACAATGATGAACTGATGGAAAAATGAATGACGGCACGATCCAGACGAAATGTCTTTTCATGAGATGGGGTGCTAAAATCTCACACCGGATATCATTAAACACTATATTAAGATTTGAGCTACTTCTCCTATCTGGTTTAACTTTTATGATAACACCATGAACTTAACATATGCATACTCCGTATAACTTTCTTTGTACAACTAACGAGTTTAACTAATTTAATACGGAGTACATCTTCTTATTCCATTCCTTATATTTTGATATACAGAACATCTGATCCAACAAACGTAACTTTGGTTTTATATTTTTCAATATAATTTAATATAATATAATTTTATGTGATTAGATTTACTTTTAAGCCATTTTCATCTACTTCTCATTGCCAAATTCTATGTCAGATCCAATTTATTTTGGAGTATAATATATGAAGCCATAAAAGATACTTTTGAAACATCCATCTTATCATCTATCGCATGTGCAATGGACAGATAGAAGATGGGCGAGCGTTTTGGAGGTGCCCTATTCATTTAATTTGTTACGTTTATTCTTATCTTATTCGAATTAATTAAGTGAGATTAAACCATTAAAATCGGATCAAATAAAAAATATTCAGATGAGAAAAGTTTAAACTTGATTTTATTCTCTAAATAAGAATAAATCTAAGCTTTGTTTTTTACTTCAGGGGACGTTTGGGGAGGGGGTTGGGCGGTCTGAAGTAATCAGGATGAAACTCATTGTTTGTTTATATATACATTTATGATTAAATCTAAACACAAATGTATGAATAGAAGTTAATGTTTTTTCCTCTAAATAGGACTAAACATTACCTTTATACTATACCCCTAATATAATTAATTGCCTCTAGTGGTCGGGGCTGTCTCGGGAAGATCTTTGATCCGGACCTGGCAGCCTCGACTCGAGCAGGAGTTCCATGTGTCTGGAAACTTGAAATCATAATCGTACTCTAATCACAAATTAGAGTGATTAAGTGAAGTATGCCATGTATAATCATGATCAGTCTATTGGTGGTGGAGCTCCAGTGACCGATGGTGATGGAGATCCAACGGCATGTGGCATGTAGCGACCGCGGCAGACTAGTGTAGTTCAAACACTTGCATTATGATCGTGTTTACTATCACATTTATAATTTGTTCTAGTTATCCTTAGTATACAGGCCAAGTTTAAAGATATTTTTGTTTTAGTAATGTTCGATATTAATTTTATGAATGGAAAAGGCTTACCTTTTTGGTTGATGTTCGAGATTACTTACTCATGACATTTTAAAATATAATATCAAAACTAATGAAACTCAATCAAACAATTGATTGGATTTAAACACAAAAGGACTTATAGTTTGGGATCAATTCCACAAACTTTTTAGTAGGTCATTGGGCTTATTAATACAGTTCTGGGCTAAATGACATTGATTTGCTTCGTAAAATGTAAAATAAATTGACGATAAGGATGTGACATTCTTCGTTTAATACATTACTCGATACTCCCGAGTCAAAATAGATTTCTATGGCACAATCCAGATAGTCCACTATTACAGTACATAACCGACTATTGGGCGGCGGATGAATATAGGAATGTTCAAACTAATAATGTTTTCCGTTAAAAGGTGTAAGTTGTAACCCCACAAACACAAAAGCACATCTGTTTTGGATGTTCCTAATTTAAGTTCTCACTTTCGTTATTTAGATGTCCCTAATTTAAGTTTTCATTTCCTTAAATGGAAAGTTATCTACATCAAAACAGTGTCAAACAGTGCAAAACAGTGCCAAACAGTGTCTAAACAGTGTCGAAACAGTAAAATTTACCCCTGGTAAGTTTACTTTCATAAAAGTGTGTGAAAATTAAATGGGGAACTTTCGGGGACGGAGGGAGTATGTGTACGTAGGTTCTTTTAATTTCTAACCTAGAAGTTATGATTTGTACAGGATAGATATGATCTGGTCTCTGTGTATTTTATAAATGTCCAGGTTTGATATGATTTGGTCTGATCTGGTCTAGGATTGAAAATGGTCCAAATAAAAAATTGTTGGTATATAAATAGCGGGTTAAGGTAATTACTAATTACACAAATATAAATGTAGAGAAACGTACAAAGAAAAGGTAGGAATGGACTCACAAATGCGCCTAAATTTATCCTTGAGATCTTGCAAATGTTCACTATTTGTGACACGAAAATAGAAATCCGGGTAGTCGCTCTGAGCAACCCAGTGAGAGGGAGTGGCCGTTCCAATCGCCAATATTTTTGCAGGGCCATCTGCCCGTTGACCGTTCCATGCGATTAGGCCATTCTCAATCTTCATTATAAGTGGTGAACTTTGTCTTAATTACTTCACTTTTGGAACCAAACAAGGAGCTTAATTTCTACAGAATTACTTACATATGGAAAAGCAATAGCTAGTGAAGCTCTTTATATAGGACCCATTGCCCAATGTGGTTGGTAACCAAAGGATAAGAGTATTAATTTCTGTAGTAGAAGTGACCATATCGAGCTCAATACGGTCCTCGATCTACTTCTCTTTCGCTATGGTTGGGTTTAAAGCTGTCAGAAGAAATAATTGTTGAACTTAGGCTGAACTAAATTTCGTTTTCAATCCAATTAAGGTTATTTACAAACATTATTTATTAAATTAAAAAAACAAAAGATGACAACCCATCCCTGTGGCCCCCAACACCGACCGGACGGCACAATTGGAAGATATAAATTGAACTATAATCACAATCTGATAGATAGAGAGTGAGTCCCGTACCCGACACTTATAGAGGCCACAAACATTATTTATTAATTAATGAGAAAAGAGTACATATCAAGATCCGTCATTAATGCAAGCACCTTTTGGATTAACAATGGATCTTAAGCGTAGGGGTGGATTCGGTTCTTGCGGTTCGGTTTTGACCTAAAACCAAATATAGAATCAAAGTAAAAAGTTCAGTTCGGTTTCGGTTCGGTTTTACACTCCAAAACTTGGAACCACGGTTTGATTGGTTCGGTTTGTTTCGGTTCGGTTTCGGTTTTTTCGGTTTTTTACCAAAAAATTCTCACTTGATTTAAAATTGATATAATACTTAGAGGGATCAAACATATTACATAAACAATGCAAGCACAATACAACAACAAATAAAATAAAAATAATAAGAGATAAATATGTCTTGAATTATATGAGTATGCGAGATAGATAAAACTGTATATATTATTGATTTAATTTGTTTGTGAGTAGTTCGAAAAAATTTCATGAATATATATGCTCTATGTGATATAGTTGAGATGAATATTTATCGTTTTATCAATATAAGATCTTTAAGTTATCTTAAAATAAAAGTTAATTACTACTAATAACTAGTAAACACATATTATCATCATTCAATATAGCTACATTATTATATTACAGACAATGAATGTGTAAATGAATTTATAAACTAAATTAAATTAAACATAACACAAACATTATTTCTCTAACACAAGAAAACCAAAGACTATTGATGATATATATATATATATTAAGATTAATTAGGATTAATGCTTAAAAATTAATATATAAATTTCATAATTTAAATTGTTCGGTTTGTTCGGTTTGGTTCGGTTTTTGACATTCGGTTTCGGTTTCTTAGCGGTTCGGTTTTATTTGGTTGCGGTTCAATTTAATTTGATTCGGTTTTCGGTTTTCGATTTTCCGGACCCAGCCCTACTTGAGCAGATAAAATTCATCAATAAACGCTGATCAAAGTGCAAATACCCTTTAAAACATGTATTGTAAAACATATACTATCATCCCTTCTTTAAAAGTTGCAACGGTTTGTCTTTCACGTTTCCCAATGCAAAAGTTTGACTGCAATTATATTTAATTACGTATTAGTAAACATAAAAAAAGTTAATATTTTGAAAAATTACAGTAGTAGATTTTTTTGAAAGAACATTAGTAACAATTTAATAACATTTTATACATAATAATTTGATTATATATATTATTAGAAAATCGTAGTCAAAGTAAGGTGTATGAATAGCGCAAAAATCTCAATGTTGCAACTTTTAAAGAACGGAGGAAGTACTACGTATATCTTTAAAGGTCACTTTTTTCTCGATATGTAGTTGTGAATGAAGTGTGACTGTGGACATTTAAAAAGTATTGGATCAGTTGTGATGGTCATGGGGTCTCTTACAATGCTACCAGGCTATTTCGATTTTATTGGGCCTATTTCGAATTTATTGGGCCAAAATTGAATTCTATTAGACTACTCGTGAATGATATACGTCCTATCAGAAAGAAAATATTATATGGATTTTCTCAGATAAAATTTAGTGATTAAATTAATTTGCATCATTTACAATATCCAATTAATTTAATTCAGTCTTTCAAAGAACGGGGTGATCCTATTAATTCCTCTATTTTCGAGCCCATTATCAAATAGTTGCCCAATATATAAGAGACACGATCTAATTGATAAAGAAGCAACGAATCTGGCTAAGAAATCCTTCCATATGCATGGAAAATAGCTATGAACCTTGTTAGAAAAGCTGTCCAGGATCTAATCTAATCTAATCTAAAATCTTATAAACATCAATCAAGGTAAGGATGTTTTAGGTATAAAAAATGTGTTGGTGTAAAAGCTTAGCATTATATACTTGTACATCATGTTTTAAATATTATACTGGTTATTAATAACTCTCTTTTTCTTTTGGTCTTCCGTTAAACCTGCCGTTCACTCTCGTTACGAACCTCTCCAACACTCATTGGCTTTTGGACCATCCATTTCAAACTTCAAAGTACTCCATATTTATTTTAGATGGGTTGACTTTGTGTTGTGGATTTTTTTTTTAAATAAAAACGTGAGGCTTAATTGTGAAAATAGTTATAGAAATATTTGAAGTCTCTTTGATTCGTTTGAGAATATATTACAATTTTTTTTTAGAAAATTAATTATCCAAAACTTTTTATTCAATATCATTATTAAGTCCCATGTTTCATTTAAAGGGACATTATTTTTGAATCGTATCTCTTTGGATATTACGGAGTGTATGTAATAGAAAATTATTATATCTTTGTGTTTCCGAAGCCAATTTTGTATCACGCCCTTATTAAGCATTTTGTTTGAAAAAAATTGTAGGTCGATTGAATATTGCTTTTAATTAATTTTGTTTCTTTTGCTCGTTTTTTATCCTTTGTATATGAAAAAAATATTACTGCGTACTTTCTAATGTTCTTGTTGCATGATAGGATATGATCTTTCCACTACGATCAAGGTTAGTCTTCAAGTAACTACATGTCGTTTCTTCTTGTTCATGGTGGTTAATTAGAGTGATGTGATTTAAAAAAAAAAATTAGGGTTATGTGATTAACAATGAATTGATAAAGTAAGGAAGTATTTATTCAATTAATTAGCTTTTATGGCAAAAGGTACATGTCATAAGATATGCTACCTCAGCTAATTATTGCATCAAAATTTAGAGCTCGTTTTATAATACTAAAATTGGTTGAATTGACTGATTCTATTGAAATTTATGGAGTTCTGGATGAAGTGACTTGATTGGTTGAATCTGTTGTTTAATGAAAAAATTATATTTAAAATATTTTTAATAAAATAAATAAAAAATTATATGGAAAATAGCTAAAATGCATGGTCTTCTATAGTAATTTCAGTCAATACAGCTAGAAAAGTAACATCAACCTTACTTCTTCTTCTTATTACACAATTCAGCACGCGAAATCAAAAGTTAAGTGTTGGGTGAAAAAGTTGGCCTTTAATCTTGATAATTCAAAAAACAGAACCACAAAACGGGCTCTTAGTATTTTACAAGCATCATACTAAGGGAGTGTTTGCAATATCTTGTGCTTTAAAAAAATCACTTTTGAAGTAATTTTAGAAAAATTGCTTAATAGTAAAAGTTGGTAGTGTTTGAAAAAAATTGATTTTGAATAATAAAAGTTGGTAGTGTTTGGTAAAATATGTGATTTTTGTGTAATAAAAAAATTTAAAAAGTAGATTCTAGCCTTTGTGTTTACTTTAAGTAGAAGTTGTCACATGAAAACACTCTTTTTAACTTTTTTAAGCTAAAAGCATATAAGCGTTGTTGTTAAACGTTTGCAAATGGTGCCTAATAAGATTTCATGTTCTATAAAATTAGAACCTACAATTTTATGCACAACTATCATTCTCTTTTCCATAATCAACAATTTTTGGTCAACCAATAATAAAAGTATGTCAATCATCTCTATCGATAATTAATTCGATTTTTAATAATTAAAATTTACATATTCAGAAACTACATATGAATCTCATCAAAGTTGCAAACTTCAAATTAGAATATAATTAAAAATTAACATCCTAATTAAGCAAACTACATATGAATCTCATCAATGTTTGGTCAAGAAAACTCAAATTTGCAATCAATTTGGGGTGGAGGTAGTATATACTATCGATATGTATTTCTAGGATGGAGCGGGGAGGGCCAATGGTGTACTGACATTGTAAAAATAAGAAAATAATATACAAAGAATGATATTTTATGCTTAATAGAACATCAAGATAGTTTTATCGGGACCGGTTAGATATTTTTCTACTCCCATGCAGATTATTGTTTCCTATGTCATTCAAATATACATAATTATATGAGAAGATTCTAATTAAAAAGGAATATCGGGGTGACTACTAAAAATTTCATCAACTGGTTAGCGGCCTGAGATTCTGAGAATAAGGTGTATGATATTCTTCACCATGCATTATAAATTACAATACAGATACATCTTCCAAATAACAATATATATGGTACAACAGCACAACATCGACTTTAACACAAATGATGGACATTCAACTACATACTTAAAATACATTCAAGTTAAAACTTATTTCTTCTCATAATGTAAAAGTTACAAACCACTTTCTCATTTTGTTATAGATGGAATGCAACTACGTGTCTAAAAAAGTAAGAAATAACAAAATTGGGCATTATTCAATCGCTCAACGCGCGGTAAAGAACTAGTCATTGCATAAATGCTATTTTTTTAGCTATTTAAATGCAAGCAAATAGAGCCCAAAGCACATTTTAATTAACGCCCGAGACATATGGACGAATATACTAAACCCTAAGGCCATCTCCAACAGTTTACACCATTTTTTACACTAAAATGGTGTAAACATCACATCATACAGTATTTTTATCTCCAACAGTTTACACCATTTTCATCACCAAAAAGGAATATTCCCTTTTTATTTTTTTACTAACTTTTTACCATTCTTCTATTTAAGTATCTAATTATCATATATTTATACATTTGCCCCTCATTTAATATTTTGACATTTCACACATACAAACTGAAATACACCATTTTAATATGTATTTTCACGCATTTCACTTATTTAAATACAATAAT